TATGTCATCATACACGTGAAAGCTGTATATAAAGTAGGCTTTGGGGGGCTGGTTCAATTTCAAGCAGTGTTTCCATATTAAAAAGTACCCCGAATTCCAAAAAATGGGGATTTTTCAAAAATCTGAAATAGTCTGTTCATAAGCTGAAGACATGTTTACATTCCAAATGTAATCATACAGTTTTATGTAATCATTAAACAACAAACAAGACTACAAAATAATATCACTTACATCTAAGTCCTTGGGGGACGGGGATTACCCCTTCTGTTTATTTTTTCGTATATGATATTAAGAATACTTCCAAAAGCTGGGTAATTGTTGGTTTAAAAATGCCCAAACTCACCTTTTAAATAACAAACTCTTGTTCCGGAAGGCAGTTAGCTTTTCATCACTCTTTCTGTCTAGATAACATCCAATGACAAATCCCATAGGGACAAGTATATGTACCCAGTGGTCACGCACAAGCTGAATTAAACTCATCCTGAATGCTAAAAAAAAATGAAAAAAATAAAAAATTCAGAAATATAACTGACTTTGAAATATCTTTTAAATTGCATCTGAAACAGGAAATAGTCCTGAATATAGGAATAGATATTAAAAGCATAAGCCTCTTGCCCTAGTCGGTGTGGCTTAGTGGATAGACGATAGAGTGTTGGCCTGCGGACTGAGGGGTCCTGCTTGATTCCGGTTAAGGGCACGTACCTTGGTTGAAGGCTCCTCCCTGGCCCGGGCCCTGGTCGGGCTCATGCAGGAGGCAACCAATCAATGTGTTTCTCTCACATAGATGTTTCTCTCTGTCTTTCCCTCTCTCTTCCACTTTCTCTAAGAATCAATGGAAAAATATCCTCTGGTGAGAATTAAGAAAAAAAAAAAGCATAAGCCTCTTTAAAATTGCTTGGCATCAGAATGTAGTATACTACTTAAAATCTACTCGATAAAGATTATATAGATGACAATGATTAGCATAGAAACTGCAATGCACTAAAGTCAATTTATTAACTTTTTCCCTATTTTCATCAGTGATCTGACGATATAATGCAGAGAAATGGAGAGTATAAATTCTACCTGCAAAAGCCCGGCTAGTGTTGCTCAGTGGTTGAGCATCAACCTATAAACCAGGAGTCACTGTTCGCTTCCCGGTCAGGGAATATACTGTCAGCATAACCATTATATACTGTTTGTATTTCACCACCAACAAAAAAGTACTTGGGGACTCTCAGCCCATGACCACCTGTGGGCTATCAGCCACTTACTATTGGCATTCTTCCAACATGGCCAGACGCTACTTTTGTCTGGCTCTACTCTGAGCAGATGTGACCATACAAGCCCTGAGGTTCTTGCTGAATAAACGTCTTATGAGAGTCCAGGTAAAGACAGTGGGACTGATAGATAAAACAATTCTGTACATTTAAAATCCAGAGTTGGATTCAACCACCTCGAAGGAAACCCGATTCCATCCCCAAGAAGCAAATGGCAAATCTTAGTCCCAGAGGTATTTCATATTCCAATTGTAAAATCTACAATTTAATAGGCTTTGGGAGCAGTGGCACTGAACATATTTTTCCTGTGTATTTCGCTGCGAGTGGGTGACCAGGGAAGACAAAGATTTATGGGCATAAAACTGAGCTAGGATGATTTCTTGGAGAATGGACAGGAGAGGGAGCATGGACAGGCTTTCCAGCTCTTGGTCATGGCCCAAGGCCATACGGGATGGGTAAAGGCGAGTGAGGGCCTGGGACAGGCTCCAATGAGACAAGCCTGGGTTTGGATGAAGAGGGACATCGCCTGGGTGCCCATGAGGGCACTGTACACACTGGGGTGGGAAAAAGTAAGTTTACAGTTATGAGTGCGAAACAAATTTTGTTCTTGCATTATTATTTTCTAAATTATTGCATTATTTTCAGTAATATATACTGAAGAATACTGCATTATGAACAACTGTCAACCTACTTTGGACACCCTGTATTAGTGTCTTCTTTATATGAAAACTCTTAAGAAACATTTTGCTCTTACTTCCGAACTGGGAGTAGCTGTGGTATCCCTGGGAAAAACAACAACAAACAAAACGAGTTGGTTTTTATCTTATGGACTCAAGGAATCATATAACAGATCAAGCTGTTTTGCCTACCTCTAGAAAGAGCTGATTTAGCAGTCTCTGTAAGGCTCTTCTTTTAAAAAAAATATTTTTATTGATTTCAGAGAGGAAAGGAAAGGAAGAGCGAGAGAGAAACATCAATAATGAATGGGAATCATTGATCTGCCGCCTCCTGTACGCCCCCTACTGGAGACCGAGCCCGAAAACCGGGCATGTGCCCTTGACCGGAATCGAACCCGGGACCCTTGAGTCCGCAGGCCCACACTCCATCCACTGAGCCAAACCAGCCAAGCTGTAAGGCACTGTTCTTTTTTTTTAAATTTCTTTATTGATTAAGTTATTACATATGTGTCCTTAATCCCACATTACCCCCCGCAAGGCACTGTTCTTAATGCTTTTCCTAATCACAACTCAAGTAATCCTCACAGCACTATACAAGTTTTCATTAATAAAGGCCCCCAGTGCAGTCGACATATTTTTTTTCAGATGAGGAAATCCACAGTTAATTGATTTGTCAGAGGTCACAGATGCAGCAAGTGGCGGAGATGGGATTAATGGGCAGCCTGCCTCCTGGAGCCAAGCTCTTTATTTGTGCTTCCTGTCTCTTACAGGAAGCACAGAGGTAAATAGTTATATAATTCTTCACTTCCTCTTATGTTCCCTAACTACATATTATTTTTTCTTCGACCCAATTTTCCCCGCTTACCTTCTAAAAAGAAAACTATCTGGTGTGAATTTTTGCATGTCACTTTCTAACTGTTCCCCACAGCATTTTATATGTATTGATCAAAAAGTGTCAACTAAGCTGACGATAAAGAGCGCTGCATGCATGGAGAATCTGAGCTCCTTGAAGTCACCTGTCTTAATGACACATACGCCCAAGAAACTCAGCACAAAGTAAATATTCCATTTTTAAAAAGTGCACATGGTCGGCTCGAGGGTTTGAGATTTACAAGAGGGAGAGAGCGGGGTTAGCTTCCCATGGCGAGTGGCGAGGAAGGCAGACCCGGGACCGGGGACGCATGAGGCTCCCTCCAGGCTGCAGCCCAGCATCGCGTCCCCGCCGCTTTCCTCTCGGGGCGGCCGGGCGGACCCCGCGTGACCAACAACACGTGCCCCAGGGATGACAGCCTCCGAGTCCCCTTCCCAACAGCCGCGAGACGGCCTGGGCCCAGCACCTCCCTTTCCCATCTCGCCTCCTCTGATCTGAAGCCCGGGGAGGCCGGGCCGCTCCAGCCCCGGGGAGACCCAGACTACGACCCCCCGGCTCCCCCACTCCATCGCCGAGGGCTTTCCCAGGGGCGCACCCTGGCTGCCTGCACAACCGAAGCCCGCGGCGTCGAACCCGGACCCACCTGCGGCCTCGGTGCCAGCCCGACCCCAAGACCAAGGGCAGCGGCGAGTCCAGCCTCCAGCGCCGGCGGAAGCCGCGGCCTTGGGACACGCCATTCGCAGCGCCCGCTCCAAGACGGGGGGGGCACCGCATACCATACCTTTTTTCCTTTCAATACTCCACTCTTCTCATATTTATGTTAGCTTTAACATATTAAACATTATTGCAAGAGTAACACCTAGGCCTCAGGTGGTGAGACTTGGGGTGAGGGCCGTCTCTTTCCTACATTCCGTCCCCGCCCCTCCCCGGCAGATGGTATCGCCCTGGGTCTCGCCCCGCCTACGCGGTCCGACTCCAATTTCAAGATGGCGGCCGCCATGGCGGAGCTTCTGCGGCCCGGCCGTTACGGCTGCTGCTGAGCGGGCGTCAGCTTTCCTCGCTCTCGAACCTGGATTCAGCGAGGGGTTGGGAAGGGCAGTGGACGGCGTTGGGGGGAGGACGGACGAGGCAAGTGCGGGCGAGGAAAGGAATGAGCCTCGGGATGGGGGAGGGGGCGTCCTGGGCGGCGGGGAGTCTGCTCCCACCCAGTCTCCGCCGGGACGGGCTCCGGGGGTTTCGGATACGACTTTCCGGCTCGATCTTGGCCCAAGTGCTCAGCGAGGGAAGAAGAAGTGACATCTCCGAGGGTCTTTGGCGGCCATCCTTCCGATTCCCCCCCTTCGCTCCCCCCGCCCCCCTCCGGCTGCTTCCCTGCGCCGTGCTGCTCGCGGGGCTGGAGGCGTTCATCCGACGCCGCTTTGGCTCCCGAGCCTCGTGGCTGCCGTGTTCTCCGCCTCCCCCTTGGCGTTTCCCCGCCGTCTCGGGGTGAGAGAGCAGGAGGCTGCTAAGCACTGGGAATAAAGCAGGCATCCTTTTTGGTGAAGGGGGGCTCGGCCCTCCGAGTCTCCCGCTCCCCGGCCGCCTTCCATCTATTTTACAGGCTCCTAAGCCAACAGGAGGTCACACTAGCCATACCCCTGGCGAGGCTGAGCTCCTGTGACCTGGCGGACCTGAGTTATCAATTGCCCATCTCCTGATTTTTAAAAATTCACACCCGCGCTGATCCTGTTAGGAAATCACTGCTCTTCTGGAAGTGACCCGGAAGAGACTCCGCATTCCGCTCAGGGGCCAACCAGGACCCCTTCCTGTTCCCTTGCATTTTGCAGAATTCCCCTTGGTTGTCATCGACATGCAGGGTCATTATTGAGAGAGAGAGAGAGAGAGAGAGAGAGGAACTGATAGACAATTGCAATGAAACACTGTCCAGAGGCGTTTATGATGTGGCTAGCGTTCATTCCTAGCCTCTGCACATTTATGTTGCTTTGAGTGCCGCGCTTGGTATTGGCGATACAAAGGTGACCACCTTTACTCCTGGTGCATTCAGTATCCGTTCAGCAAGTATTTTTTGTCCCCAGTTTGTGCTAGGTGAAAATAACTACCTGAGGACACCAAAAAAGCTTTTTAAGGAGTACATATTTGAGCTGGGTCATGCAGGGGCAAAAGGAATTTAGATTCAAGAGAAGGTCATTCCTGCATGGAGGACTGGAATGCAGAGATTTGAGATTTGACTCAATAGTTAGGAAGCCACGGAATGCTTTGCACAAGGAAGGGGCATGAGTATATTTGTTCTTTTTAAAAGATGGCAGCTGTGTTATGGAGGATCAGCTTTGGACAGGAAAACTAGATGAGAGGAAATTGCAGTCATTCAGGTAAGGTAATGAGTGCCTCAGTTGGGGTAGGAGAGTTGAAGGACGTCAGACATTTCTGAAATGTCAAATAGGATTCACCTGGTGGCAGCCCATTTGGTGGTAAGAGGGTGACGCCAGAGTTTTTAGTCTGGGAGGCTAAGTGGTTGGTGATACCATTAAAACCAAGCCTAAGACATGTACATAAAAATAGAGCGGTGCCAACCTGCACTTTCGGAGTGGCAGAACACATGCTCTGCATTCGGAAGCAGTGATTTGAGAGTCTAGACCTGTGCTATTACAGTAACCGGGAGCCACATCTTGAAATTGTAATTAGACCAAATTGAAATGTGTTGTAAATATGAAACACACACTAGATTTCAAAGACTTAATACAAAAAAGTAAAATATCATTAATTTAGTAATGATTACATGTTGAAATATTACATATATATTGGATTAAATAAAAGTATATTAAAATTAATTCCACCTGTGAAACTTTTCAGCATGGCTCTGAAAAAACTTGAAACTACATTTGTGGCTTGCATTATATTTTTGCTGGGCTAACCTGTGGTGGTCTAGACTAATGATAGAGGAATTAGTATGGAGGTGGAATTTGAGCTGGGTCTTGAGATGGTGAATAGTGATGTCAAGGCAACTGCTGGCACCCTCCATTGCCAGTGAAGGCATTCAGATTTCTGTGTTGTTTTTTCCTTCAAGCAGTAGGAAGCCTGCTTAGATTTCTGAGCAGGGGGTAATGTGTGCAGGAGTGTTTCTGAAGATTAATCTGGCTGGAATGTTTAAGTTGAGATAAGGGCAGAAAGACTGGAGGCCAGGAAACAGAAACCCTGCGTTAAGGTACTGACAGTGGGAATAGAAAGAATGACTTATGTGCAAGGCATTCTAAGGGAAAACTAACCAGAAGTTGGTAACAGACTGTTCAAAAAGAAGTAATAAAAGGAATTAAACATCTAGAGTTACAAGTGTTGGTTACTTAGATAATGATGAATTCATGTCTTGGACTTAAGAAAGTACTAGAGGCCCAGTGCACGAGTTCGTGCATGGTTGGGGTCTCGACCTGGCCGGCGATAGGGGCCAATCGGGGCCTGTTGGCCAGGGGGAGGGATCACGGGAGGTTGGCTATGGGAGCGCACTGACCCCCAGGGGGAAGCTCCTGCATTGAGCATCTGCCCCCTGGGTGGTCAGTGCGCGTTATAGCGACCGGTCATTTGGTCGACTGATCTTAACCGTCTCTTAGGCTTTTATATATATAGATTTTTGGGGCTAAAAAAATTTAGCCTCAAAAAAGAACCAATAAAGTTGAAAGGATGAAGTAGCCTGCTAAATACTCCCTCTTTTTATCTCTCAACTTTCTGTACCTTCTTATCAATCATATACATCAGCCAATATCCCTAAAATACAGTTACCTGGGTCATGTCATCTTCCTACTTGACAATGGATCTTAAAATGTTTCTCTGTTGCCTGTAGAACTAGGTCCAAAGTTTCCCAGGCCTTTCACTATCTGGCCCTTTTCTCTTCAGATGCCAGCTCGTTTCTTCACTGGTAGCCTGTAATTTTTTTTTGTTTTGTGCCTTTGTTCATGTTACTGTTTTGTATACCTTTTCTCTTTGTCTCTTTCTACCCAGGTCCTACCAATCCTTAATGAATAACTTAAGATCCCACCTTTTTTATGATTTTCAATAACATAAGCTATTGTGAATTTAAAAAATCTTATTTCCTAAACTTCATATTTCAGCCTCTAATTATAACCAATTTGGTATATTATTACTTTTGTTTTTTATTATGTCTTTTATTATCTTATCCCTATTTGTTTTATGTCAGCTCAAGCTTCCTAAAATTAGGACAGGTTTCTTTTTTTTAAATTGATTTTCTAGAGGGAGGGAGGAAGGGAGAGAGAGAAAGAGAGAGAAACATTGATGTGAGAGAGGCACATTGATTGGTTGCCTCCTGTCCCGTGCCCCGACTGGGATAGAACCTGCAACCTTCTTGTGCACTTGATGATGCTCCAACTAATTGAGCCACACTGGCCAGGCATGACAAATTTCTTTTTTTTGAAAAAAGATCATATATTATACTGTTTGTTGCTGCTCACAGTGTTTATTGTAGGGCAAGACATAGAAATTAAACATCATAATTAAAACTAAAGTAAGTCATTATGCCACATTCATTCGTCTCATTTCTTTATATTTTAGATTTGTAAAGAGCTCTTACTTTGAATTTATGGTGTTTCATCGTATATAGGACTGAGATATCAGTAAGTAATGAATGTCTAATAAAGATCTAGCTTTATTATATTCCGAGAAGTTGTAATAAAAATACTTTTCGTGTGGTGAAATCAGGATCTGTCTGCAGAAACGTTTACCATGAACTCATTCAATTCTATCTGCAAGGTACTTTGTGTTTTCACTTCATGATGGAAGTAAAGTGGGAGGTCAGGTAGATTTGAGATGAAGAGTTTCTCTTCGGCCGTTAACAAATCGCAGGGCGTGTGTTACCTGCTGTTGCATTGGCTCCAGCTCCTGGTGACTCTATAAATGAGTGGTGTCCACAGTGTTCTGCTCAGCTCCTGCAGACTCACGCCTGTGGCTTCTTCTCTGGGGTCAGCCCATCTCATATTTGGTTTCCTCTTTTCCTGCTGCTTTCTATTTTTCCCAGTAGATTGCCACTTTCAAAGAGCCCTGCCTTCTCATGGTGGATGTGAAGTAGGACAGCCTTAGTTTTGTCATTTTTTTGGCCTCCAGTGATGTTTCAGGCTTAACTTGTTCTGAAGCCTACTTGTTCAGATGAATCAGTTTTTTCCTGTTAGCTTCTTCACTACCCAACTTTCACACCTGTACTTAGTAATTGGGAATATGAGGGTATGAGTGACCTTAGCGTTGGTCTCAACACACTTTTACTCTCAGTGATTTTTGTTTTTTAATATATTTTTATTGATTTCAGAGAGGAAGGGAGAGGGAGAGAGAGATAGAAACATCAATAATGAGAGAGACTCATTGAATGGCTCCCTCGTGCACACCCCACACTGGGGATCAAGCCTGCAACCCAGGCATGTGCCCTGACTGGGAATCGAATGGTGACCTAGTTCATAGGTCGACACTCAACCACTGAGACACGCCAGCTGGGCAAGGCTAATTTATTTTATTTTTTTAATTGATTTTTGTTTTTCAGGGAGAGAGAGAGAGAGAGAGAGAGAGAGAGAGAGATTAATTTGTTGTTTCACTTAATTATGCATTCATTGGTTGTTTCTTGTATGTGCCCTGACTGGAGATAAAACTCGCAACCTTGGAGTATCTGGAAGACACTCTGACCAACTGAGCTACCTGGCCAGGGCTAAGGCTAATTTATTTTTAGGAGCTAAAATCTGGAATGTTTCTGTGGAGCTTTGTTTTGCTAGTGAATATTTTTATAACATTTGTTTAATAGCCCACAATTCTAGTTTTAGGTCCTAAATCTCAATAGATGTGTTCATGTTATATTTTCTTGAAATGTGTGTAGTAGGTGTCCCAACATAAATTCTATCTTTATGTATATATTAATATTTATGAGGAAAGGTTAATTAACTTACCCAGAACCACATAGGAGCAGATTCAAATTTGAGTCTGATTCCCAATCCACTACTTTTCATTAAATCAAACTGGGGAGCCACTGCAGTATTCATTGTAAACAATAGTGTGTAAGATGTTCGTGCTTTTAAACTTAGCAGTGACGGAAAGGGGTCTTTAACACGTTAAGCGCCCAGCCTGTTCTGTCTTCCGGACGGAAAGTATAGTGTCAGTCACCGGTGACTGGGCGCTTAACGTGTTAAAATGTTTGCTTTTCATGTTTATGGAATTTCTGCCCACTTAGAAATTATATATAATTTTAATTTGTCTAGTGTGTATATTAGGCTGTACTTTTATGCTTAATTATATATATTTTTCTTTTGAAAGAACTGTTTGGACTGTTGTTATTATTGGACCAAAAAGAATGACATCTATTATCAAATTAACTACCCTCTCTGGGGTTCAAGAAGAATCTGCTCTTTGTTATCTTCTTCAAGTCGATGAATTTAGATTTTTATTGGACTGTGGCTGGGATGAGCACTTTTCTATGGATATTATCGATTCCCTGAGGAAGTACGTTACTTTTAATATTTCTAGACTTCTAGTACATCAACTTTTCTACATTGTAATACTATTTTCATGTTAAATAGTGTTTGCTTTTTTTGCTCTAATTTAGTTTATAGTAAAAGACTTAATTTTACTTATGCCAAAGAATGACTATCCTATATAATAAAAGCCTAATATGCTAAGTGCCCAGTCGTCTGGTCGAATTTTGTGCACCTCTAGTTTTCACTTATAAAGTTTGATCGACTAATAGGCTATGTTATTTGAAATTCAACATACTCTTAAGTTAATCGTTACTTGGCTAATGGATCTCAGTAAAAATTTTGCACTCAAATTTTAGAAAAGAGTAAGTTTATAAGAATTTGAAGAGAGAAAAAAACCTTCCATGTGAAAGTTCTACAATCAGATTGCATGAGCTTACTTTTTGATCTTTTGATGCTAGACATTGAGAATTGTTGCTCAGAATAGTGACGGTGAGATACAAAACAATAGTAACCCATTGGAGAAAAACTCAGTAATGTTTGCAGTATTGTACTAATTAGGGAAGGAAAGAGGACTTAAACATTTACAAAACTTAGAACTTGTAGCAAAACATTTTTTTATTTTGTCAATGAGAACATATGCTTCCTTGATTAAGTAAAGTTTTACTATAATGAATATGCTATCAGTTGCCATGATAAATAGCTGGGCCAAAAGTCCATAATCAATATGTGGCTGTTTAAGTATTTCCTCCTTCATTTCTGAAATTCCAAACTGAGTTCTTGAACTTTAATTAATGGTACGTAAGGTAGACATTTGAAATCAGCTTACATGTGGTATCTACCGTTTCTCTTTCTTTTCTCTTTTAAATGTGTCTATACACTATAGACCTAGTGTGACTTACACCATGATTTTGCTATCTATACAGCACAGGGGTGGTTAGAATTAATATTTGTAGGCATCATACTTTGAGCTCTTTTACTCCAGCATAGTCTTCAGTTCAGAATGCTGAGAGGAATCTGAATTGGTGAATTAGTTTGAGTGTCCTGCCTTCATCCTTAAAACATGACTAGGGAAATGGTAATGTTGCTGGTGCTCTTCCAGGCACGTTCACCAGATTGACGCGGTGCTGCTGTCTCACCCGGATCCTCTCCACCTCGGGGCCCTCCCGTACGCGGTCGGGAAGTTGGGTCTGAACTGCGCCATCTATGCGACCATTCCTGTTTATAAAATGGGACAGATGTTCATGTATGATCTTTACCAGGTAATATAAGCAATTAAAAAAAGTTTTAACGGTTCTGCAGTGATCATTTTTAACCTTTTATTTGTGTTATCCTTTTAGTCTCGACATAATACAGAAGATTTCACTCTGTTCACGTTAGATGACGTGGATGCAGCTTTTGATAAAATACAGCAGTTGAAATTCTCTCAGATTGTGAATTTGAAAGGTAAAAAATATTTCCATCAATAAAATAATTGGACTAATGGGATTTACCTTACTGAAAAATGCAAGGGGAATTTGTAGTAAAAGCTGTAGGCACTGTGGTCTGAGGAATAGAAAATTAGCATTTTTTAATAAGAACTCTGAACCTCCCCTGAGTCATTTGGACTGGAAAATATTCCAGACGAAATACTAACAAAATGTGAACAACTCGCCTTTTTGTTGTTAATCCTCACCCAAGGATTTTTTTCCTATTGATTTTTTAGAGATAGTAGGAGAGAGGGAGGGGGAGAAAGAGAAAGAGAGAGAAACATCGATGTGGGAAAGACACATCGATTTGTTGCCTCCCATGCGTGCCCCAACTGGGGCCAGGGATCAAACCTGCAACCCAGGTAAGTGCCATTGACCAGAAATCGAACCTGTGACCCCGTGGTGTGGGGGTGGACACTCTAACCATTGAGCCCCACTGGCTAGGGCAACAACACCTTTAACTTGGGAACGACTTATTTAGTGTCTACTGTGTGTAATGCACAGAGGTAGCGTGGGCAGATCCTCCTGGGAGCTCACAGGTCGAGGAGAATAAGCAGCACAGACAGCTGGCTGTAGTGACTGACGGAAATGGAATGCGATGGCAGCATAAAGGACAAAAATGACTGCATTCTAGAATCAAGCATTAAAAAGTTTATTCTCATTAAGGCAGGAAGTTACATAGTAAGTTTATATTTACTATCTACAGAGATAATTGTATTAAAGATTTTCAGATATGAACCCTGGCATTGAAAAAATGGTGCAACAATCTTCCTGAAGATTTAGCCAGGAAGTCACAGTGGTCTCAATAGATGTGCATTACTGAATTTTTCTGTAGGATAAATTCTTTAATGAGGTTGGAATGGTCAGTTTAGAAGTTAGCAAAAATGTAAATACTTTATAATTGTGTGTACAATATAAGTAATAAATTTTATTAGTTCATACTAAGTAACTTACTAGTAATAGTAACTTTAAGTCCAATCTCTAGCCTTTTATTCATAAGCACAAATATGTCTGTAAGAATCGTAATAAAGTGATAAGAGCATTTGCTTCCATGAGGGAATGGAGTAGCCAGGGGACAGGAGAGTGAGACCTGCATTTCACTGTATGCCTTTTTACTTTTGAATTTTGTATCATTGTCTATATTACCTGCTAAAACATAGCTTACAAATAAATAACCTCTCTGTAGGGATGTAAAAGAAATCTGAGTGTTGTCATGATCTCGTTGACCTAGGAAAAGGACATGGCTTGTCTATCACACCTCTGCCGGCTGGTCATATGATAGGTGGGACCATATGGAAAATAGTCAAAGATGGAGAAGAAGAAATTGTTTATGCAGTTGACTTCAACCACAAGAGGGAGATGTAGGTATATCAAGAGAAAAGCTAATAGAAATACAGTTGGTATTATTTTATACTTTGGAGGGAAAATTAGAAACAGTTATTTTTTTAACCAGAAATCTAAAGATATTTAAATGCACCAATTAGTGAATATTTTGAAAATTACTAATTATTTGCATTGTAAGGGAAAACTATGATACTAAGAGATAAAAAATATATTTGAAATTTACATGTTAGTTTCCACTCTGTAAAACAGATTTCTCCCTGGAGATGCTGCAAAAGAGATACATTTTTGTATATCAAACTATACTTTATATGCTCTTGACCTGCTATTTAAAGGAAATTTGTCTTTTTTTTGTAGAGTTAGTAATTACCATATAATATAGTTATATTTAAAGTCAGATTCCCTTTAAAAGGAGACACAAGAGTTTAATTTTAAATACTTCATTTTGTATTCATAGCATATTATATCAATTACTAGAGGCCTGATGCACGAAATTTGTGCAAGAGTAGGCCTTCCTTCCCCGGCTGCCAGCACTGACTTCCCTCTGGCATCCGGGACCTGGGCTTCCCTCACAGCCCCGGCTTCATCTGGAAGGTCGCCCGGCAGGACGTCTGGTCTAATTAGCATATTACGCTTTTATTATTATAAATGTCTGAGTGATGGTGCTCTGGAAGATCTTGGTTTTCCTTTTTTTTTTTTTAATTTACCAGATTTTCTTATCAGTGAGCATGTATGTATACTTTTATAGTTAGAGGAGGAAAAAGGCCTTATAAAAGACGTTGCTTATTTTCAAGTAAGATTTTCAGGTTTATTTGAAATAATATAAAATATTCCTCTTCTTCAAATTTGTTACAGCCACTTAAATGGATGTTCCCTGGAAATGCTAAGCAGACCCTCCCTACTTATCACAGATTCGTTTAATGCTACATATGTGCAGCCGAGGAGAAAACAGAGAGATGAGCAACTTCTGAGTATGTATTACATAAGGTCCTTTATAAAGAGCCATGGAAATGCTTGGTAGAGTGAATTGCTGCTTATTCTGTTCTGGTTTTCATTTTTCTTGTCATAAGAGATTGTCTAATTCTAGTTATTTAAAAAAAAAAAATACCTATGTGACCATATCAAAACAAAAAGATGCTTTCATTGGTTTGAATTTAATTTTTGTGGAATAGGTATAAAGATTGGCTTCTCCCTGCCATTCACCATATGGCTAGCTCTCCCTGGCACTCACTGGTATATGTCTAGGGAATACCAAAATATAAAGATCTTATATAAATCAATAAGAACACAACAGTACTTTGCTACAGAATTAAAGATAACTTTATTTTCATGTTTTCACTATAAAAACTATGATTTATAAATAAGCCATTACTAGGCCAGGTACAAAATAAAATAAAAAAATGAGAGAGAATCATCGATCTGCTGCCTTCTGCATACCCCTCTACTGGGGATTGAGCCCGCAACCCGGGCATGTGCCCTGACTGGGAATCAAACCATGACCTCCTGGTTCATAGCTCAATGCTCAACCACTGAGCCACACTATCCGGGCTTGGATTCTACTTTTAAACATTTTTTAAACCACTGCCTTTGTCTATCTACTTAAAAAGTATAGCTCGTATACTATGTTACACTACCTAAGAATGTTTTCAATTCTTGTTTTTGCTAGAGTTGGTTTTGCTAAATATTTTCAAGCACACTTTTATCTAGAGCAAGAGAATCTATTTAAATCTGTTTATAAAGATGCTTTTGTTAGCAGAGAGAATATGATCTATTTTATTCTATAGGCATACATACACATATATAAAACATGTTTGTATTAGTGTAAAGTCCACATTAAGGGTTGGAAACCAGTGATTTCTAATGTCTCTGTGAAAAAAAATTGAGAGTCAATGGCATTGTTTTTCACTCTTAGAAAGATGTATTCAGAGAATAAAAAGTATTTGTAATAGCCTAAACAGAATTATTTTATTTTGTACCTGACCTGGTAATGGCTTATTTATAAATCATAGTTTTTATAGTAAAAACATGGAAATAAAGTTATCTCTAATTTTGTAGCAAAGTACTGTTGTGTTCTATAGGGATTTTACACTCTTGTTTTCTAGCAAATGTCCTGGAGACACTTCGCGGGGATGGCAACGTGTTGATCGCAGTGGACACTGCAGGCAGAGTTCTGGAACTTGCGCAGCTCCTCGACCAGATCTGGCGAACTAAAGATGCAGGACTGGGTGTGTACTCCCTGGCACTCCTGAACAACGTCAGCTACAATGTGGTGGAGTTTTCCAAGTCCCAGGTTTGTCTTTACATGATCATTTGTAATATAGTTTGCTACAGACAACACTGTTTTAATTGCCCTTTAGATTTTATTTTTCTGTTGAAGAGGTTGCGATGATGACAATAATAATAGCTAAAAATTAACCACTTACTGTGCTTTCTGCTTTACATGTATTATTTCATTTAATCCTTATATACCCTATGAAGTAGGTTCTGTTCCCCCCCCCCCCGCCCCCATTTTACAGATTGGGCAAGTTGCTTCTCCTCTAGCACTTAGTGTGGCAAATGGGGACAAAAATTAAACCAACCTCTTAGGCCAGTGGTCGGCAAACCGTGGCTTGCGAGCCACATGCGGCTCTTTGGCCCCTTGAGCGTGGCTCTTCCACAAAATACCGGCTCTTCCACAAAATACCGACTTCTGCACATGGGCCACGCAGTTTCAATCGCATTGTACGTGCGCGCCAGCACGTGGTATTTTGTGGAAGAGCCACACTCAAGGGGCCAAAGAGCTGCACGTGGCTCACAAGCCGTGGTTTGCCGACCACGGTCTTAGGCTATAAATGTTAGAATTCATTTTTCTCTTCTTTTTGAATAAACTTGTCCTTGAAATAGCAATCTCTGGGCTAAGATACTCATTTAGAACTTATACGTAGCCGTCTCAATAGGCTTAAAGTAATTTATAAGTGAAACATAATGCAAAATTGGAGTTTTGGGGGTGACTACTATGGGTGATGGGATCTAATGGGGGCAGAAGCAGAAAATAAGCTGCTTGTCAGAAAGTTACAAATTTAAGCAACTAGTGGTGGTGGTGGGGGGGGCGGGGGAGGACTTGAGCTAGAACTTTAACTTCCTGACTGTGGTAGGATACATTGAATTTATAATATAGCATTTTCTTATCATTGTCATCTTTCCCCCATATTAGGTAGAATGGATGAGTGACAAATTGATGAGATGTTTTGAAGACAAAAGAAATAATCCGTTCCAGTTCCGCCATCTCTCTTTGTGTCATGGTCTTTCTGACTTGGCTCGAGTACCCAGTCCTAAAGTGGTACTTGCCAGCCAGCCTGACCTGGAATGTGGATTTTCAAGGGATCTCTTTATTCAGTGGTGTGAGGACCCTAAAAACTCCATCATTCTAACTTACAGAACTACTCCTGGGACTTTAGCACGTTTCTTAATTGATAATCCTGCTGAAAAAGTTACAGAAATAGAGGTAAGTGCTTGCATATGAATTTTATCTTAACACTGTTTTGAATACATTATAAAACTCAAAACTTTCAAGGTTTTTATCAGAATAACAGTAGAGAACCTTTAATAGCCCAAATTTCAGAGCTACTTAGTTGGAAATCCTCATTCTTGAACCCTTCCATGGTCCCCTCTGGAACCACCCCAGACGGTATGCACATACACTGTGTTCTCATTTCCCCTTTGAAAAGTTGCTCTGCGTCCTTTCCTTAGTTGGAATCCGGCGCTTTCTTGATACTTTCTCCTGTAGCCCTCTCAAGCAGACGCTCTTTTTCCTTCTTTCTCCTCCTTTCACGTTCCACGTACTTTGGGTGGGGTAGGTGTTCTTGTTATGTATTGCAGCTTTGAAGCCATTTCTCTTCCCTCTGCAGTTCTTAAGTCAGACTTGACAATATACTCACCCCTCCTTGTTCCTGGCATTTACTGATCTCTTGGTCATTCTGTCACTCATCTGTGACTTCGGACCCTGGTTCATAGCCTTCCTGTCCACTCGTACTCAGGACTTCATTCGTGATGACTTTAGCATTCCTTTCTGCCCAGTTCCTTGGCTCTCTTGTTTCTTGACCTCTTATTCCTTAGTGATCTTTTCCTCTATTCCACCTCAGTATCTTTCCCACCTTCATGCTGTGTATTCCCAGGGTCATGCCCTTAACCTTGTTATGGATGAACAACTTCCACATCTCCACTACCTCAGGCATCCCACCCTGATGTTACAGATGACTCTCTTACTGCCATGCCAACAGTTCTTTGGTCCCATGGGGACTTTAGGTTCATGAACTTCACCACTTTTGCTATCCGTCCTCCCTCCAGCTTTGAGTCAGTGGTCCATCATTACTCTGTGAACACCTTTAACTCTCTTATCCTTTCTGCCACTGTGCTCACCTGGCAAAGCCTTGGCTAGTTAAACCATTTGCTTAGTGTGTGCCTGTATCCAAGGATTTAAACGCTCTGCTGTGGGGACAGGTTTTCCTGCCCATTCATGACCTCACATCTCAGAAGGGCACCCAACACTAGCACTCAGCATTTTGGGGCACTTTTCTGCACTCTCCCATAAGACAACGTCCTACCTTCTTTCTTCTCAAAACGCCTACAGCTCCATCTCAGTCCTCACCCATAGCACATGATGTTGTGGGAGTTGTTAACAGAAGTGGGAGTCAGACGGGAATTCCCTTATCTTCTCACCACTAAATAGCCTCACCTGTTTCTGCATCTGCATTGCTGCTGCCTTGTTTCCTGTTATAGGAGCAAGACAGTCAAATGACCGTTATGCCAAAAGACCATAATATATCAATTTTCCAAAACTAGTATCATTAACCTGAAATTTATAGCAATTGATATTGAATGGGTTAATGACTGCCAGTGCTGGGCAGAGTTTTAAAAGACTGCTTTTCATTTTGTCTTCATACGGCCATTTTAAGGGATGTCTAGTTTTAAAGCTGAGTAGGAAGAGTATCTTATTAACTCTACTTAAGAAAACCATAGTAATAGTAAGTAAAATCTGATATGCATTCACTGTAAATACAGAATTATTGAGGAAGGATTCAAAGCAAGCACACCAATTTAAAATACTGTCTTTTGAGTTATTTAATAGCTTAGAAATACAAAGTTTAAAGAGCTCAAATATTTGAAACAGTTTCATCAGATATGAAATGCTGTATTAGAAAATATTAATAACTAGAAATTCAATTAAGGCAGATATGCCATTTGAGGAATTCTTAAAAGAATATTAAACGTGGTTTAAGTTTGAAAAAAATAGAAAATGATTCAAAGCTGAAACTTGAAGTGTTAGGTTTTTAATTTTTTTCATAAGTAGTACTTATGCTCAGGATTCATTCCCGCTTACCTTGTTAGGGATATTTCTTGTGTAGTTACCCTTTTCTGTCCAATATCTATTATTTCTTCCTCTACTTGGTACATCCAAAACAATTTTGACTATGTCTCCTCTTCTCCCAAACTTCCTTTTCTTTGAGTTTTCTCATCTCAGGGAATAACAGCATTTTCCATATGTTTACGCAAGCCAAAAATCCAGAAATTAAAAAAAAATGTTCATTGAAGTATAATATATATTGAAGAGTGTGCATAGTGTACGCATACAGTGTGATGAATTTTCACAAATTGAACACACTTGGCTAGCCTGTATCTAGACCAAGAAATAGAATATTACCAGTACCTCGGATGCCCCCTTTCTGGTCTTCCCTACCTCTTTCTTCCTAAGCTAAAAACTATCCTGACTTCTAATGCACAGATTATTAAAACTTATTTTAACTTCCTTACCTTTCTTTTAACAGCCATAATCATTCTAGCAAGAAGTCCTTCCTATTGGCTTGACCTCCAGATATAGTCTACGTGTCTTCATGGCTGTTATTTGTTTTTCTTATTTTAGAAATTGCCTATATATTTGATCTTTTCTGATTTGTTGATCATCTTTTTCTTAGGAAAACAGTAGCTTCTGCTAGTCATATAGTGCTGCAAATAGATTTTTCAGTTTCCTTTAACTATGAAATTTAAAATGTTAAATAGATTTTATTTTTTATACTGCCACTAGAGGCCCGATGAACAAATTCGTGCACCAGTGGGGTCCCTTGGCCTGGCCTGTGGGATTGAGCCAAAACCAGCTCTCCGACATCCCCCAAGGGGTCCCAGATTGCGAGAGGGTACAGACCAGGCCGAGGGACCCCACAGGTGCACAATTGGGGCTGGGGAGAGACGCGGGAGGTTGGCCAGCCGGGGAGGGACTGCAGGAGGACTCCAGGGCGTGTCTGGCCCATCTCGCTCATTCCTGATGGGCCAGACCCTAGCACAGGGGTGGGCAAACTTTTTGACTCGAGGGCCACAATGGGTTCTTAAACTGGACCGGAGGGCCGGAACAAAAGCATGGATGGAGTGTTTGTGTGAACTAATATAAATTCAAAGTAAACATCATTACATAAAAGGGTACGGTCTTTTTTTTTTTAGTTTTATTCATTTCAAACGGGCCGGATCCGGCCAGCGGGCCGTAGTTTGCCCACGGATGCCCCTAGCAGCAAGCTAACCTACCGGTTGGAGCGTCTGCCCCCTGGTGGTCAGTGCATGTCATAGCAACTGGTTGACTGTCTGCCCCCTGGTGGTCAGTGCATGTCATAGCGAGTGGTTGAGCGGCCTTAGCATATCATTAGCATATTACGCTTTGATTGGTTGAACGGCCAGTTGACTGGACATTTAGCATATTAGGCTTTTATTATATAGGATATTTATTCATATTTTCCTTACGGCTTTTAGGGTTTATGTCATATGTAGGCCTTGCCTACACTAAATTGTAAAAATACTTAGCTGTATTTTCTTTTCCTTATTAGTGATTTGAAACCAGTTTGATTTAAATTAAGCCCATCCTAGAAATGGGAAAGCTCAATTTTTGTACTAATCTAAATAGGATCTGTAAGTGCCCATAATGGACACTTGAATAATTTCAAAGAAAAATTCAGTTTAAAAATGATGAATCAATTTAGAGATGCAATATATCTCACACCTCACTTACCTTAATCTCATAATGATATTTCCTTTTGTCTGCTATTTCTCTTTAGTTGAGGAAACGGGTAAAGCTTGAAGGGAAGGAACTTGAAGAATACTTGGAAAGAGAGAAGCTAAAGAAAGAAGCTGCTAAAAAACTTGAGCAGTCCAAAGAGTGAGTTATTTTCAGACATATTATAATTTTACATATGTAATTTGAGAAAAACATTTCTAAGATAAAAAAGTTTAATTGAAAATATTTAACTTTTGTTTCAACCTCATTACTTTCGTTACATCTTTCAAATGGTTCTGGAATATCAAATTCTTTCGTTGCTAATATTAATATGTATTTATTAACTGGCAGTTAATGCTATGTTTCACAAAATGTCAACCCAATAATATTGATGATTATATTACCATCCAGTTAATATTCAGTATTCAGTAATAATTATATGCGCATTAATTCAAAATCTTTAGGGGACTCTATGACCTTTATCTAGTCTAAAATCCTCCTAGGGCCGATATAGATTCCAGCGATGAGAGTGATGTTGAGGAAGACATTGACCAGCCTTCGGCTCATAAGACTAAGCACGACCTGATGATGAAAGGTGAAGGCAGTCGGAAAGGGAGTTTCTTCAAACAGGCTAAAAAGTCTTATCCCATGTTTCCTGCCCCAGAAGAGAGAATTAAATGGGATGAATATGGAGAAATTATCAAGTATGTGAGCAAAACAAGCTTTTCTTTCTTACAGATTAGAGGTATCAAGTGTGTTATCACTTGAGTCCAGTGAATTTGGTCTTTCTGGTCTTTGTGTACCTTGTTGCTTTCTGAGAACCTCAGCTTGAAAAATGTAGACTTACAGTGTGAAATGTAAAAGTGGGAAGGTGGAGGAACATCTAGAGAATTGAAATTAAAGGAGAGCTGGTAGTTTTTGTTTGTTTTTTTATACTCAGGTATCACTTTTATTATTTTTTTAAATATATTTTTATTGATTTCATAGAGGAAGGGAAGGGAGAGAGAACTAGAAACATCAATGATCAGAAAGAATTATTGATTGACTGCCTCCTGCATGCCCCCTACTTGGGATCGAGCCCCAACCTGGGCATGTGCCCTTGACTGGAATTGAACCCAGGACCCTTCATTCCTCAGGCTGATGCTCTATCCACTGAGCCAAACCAGCTAGGGCGGAGAGCTGGTAGTTTTATTACTTAGAACAGAGGTCCTCAAACTACGGCCCGCGGGCCACATGCGGGCCGCCAAAAACATTTGTTTTTTTACTTCAAAATAAGATATGTGCAGTGTGCATAGGAATTGGTTCATAGTTTTTTTTTAAACTATAGTCCGGCCCTCCAACGGTCTGAGGGACAGTGAACTGGCCCCCTGTTTAAAAAGTTTGAGGACCCCTGGCTTAGAATGAAGACTTCTATTTCCCACTTAAAAAGAGAGATAAAGGGCATGCATTGGAAAGAGACATAGGATAGGAAGAACTTTCGATGGGTGGGATTATGTTAAGTTTGGGAAATGGGTTATGTCTCAGATAGTGTTACACGCATGTTTTACTTAAGAAAAACATGAGATAGCATGAGTGGAACCATGGGAAATCTACAAAGTCTATACCCACAATTAGAAAAAGAACTGAAATCACATGTTCTAATCTCAAATCTGAAAACACTATCCTGTATAAAGACCCCTTAGGGTGCCATTGCTTCCAGGTAAATGTCAGTGCCTTAGCACAGTGCACGATGTCTTTCACGACCTAGTTTCTCCCTCCTGTTCTGTGATGTTTCTACATCCTTCTGCTACGTCCGTGTTCTCCAGCCTTCTCAGCTTCCTTCTCAGCTTCTTCATGTTACCCCTTTGCACATGTTGTTTCTTCTGCTTTGTGCCACCTTCCCATCCCAGGTGTCTGGGCTGCTAAATCTGGCCCCACAAACTATTGGAAACCTTCCCTGGTTCTTCCTTGCTACCTCAACACGGTTCCTCTCTTGTACTCTCTTTGTACTTTCATAATACTGTCTTGAGCCTATTGTGGACTTAGGTTTTAAACTCACTCTTGGGTTTAATTAGGAAAATTCCACTGTCTACTTGGACGTCTAAAATAGTAGAGAAGAAAAATAATCTAAACAGCATTGGTGAGTTTGCTTACCATCCCAGTTAATTAATGGCCAATCTGTTTAGCATATGGATGGTGCTTTTTAGCTTCAGTTCCTTGTCTGAAAAATGGGGTAAGAATTAAACAAGGTTGTTGTTGTTAAGGCACTTAGCATCGAGTCTGACTCATATAGTAAATGCACTTCAGGTGGCTGCTGCTGCTGCTGCTGTCATGTGGATGACAATGGGCGACTGGGCTTCAGGGGAAAGAAGCTGCAGCAGTCTAGGTGCTGGGTAACTGGTGGGGATTCCAAGGAGTGTGAGTGGGTTTGGGGGTGGGGCCTAGACAGTAATCACAGGAGTTAGAGAAAACAGTTTTAAAAGTTTGTTTTTGAATTTTAACATTCAACTCTCTGATCCTGGAGGTAAAAATGCGAAGATAGATGTGTTAACAGTTCGTTGTAATAAAGACAAGGGCTTTTGCAGGAGCTGATGATTTCGCATGTCAGTCTTCTCGTTAATGTGCAAATGGAGAGCTACCTGCTTTCTGTGAGCAGGGGTGGGAGGACTGGGGGTCTTAAAGAAATCAAGGATGTATGAGATTTATAAGAATTGGGAGGTGGCCAGGGAAACCACAGAAACTGGAGACAAATGCAGAGCCAGGCTGTAATAGTACTTACACTAACCGCTAAGATCTGATGGCCTGTCTGGGGGCTCTCACTGGCTCACAGGCTGTGTTTTAAAGCGCACTCCTTAATGGCCATGAAGAACATAATATATGCAGTCATCTGATAATTGATGTTATGAAGTTGCATTGGCTTTGGATCAACTGTATATTTAAGTCTTGAGATATGTGAGGAGTCTAAAAATTCTGCCATCTACTAGTCAGTTATAGTAACATAATATTAGCTTGTTTGTTACTACTTCTAATTAGAGACTTATTATCTAGACCAGAGGATTTCTTGGTGCCAGAACTTCAAGCCACTGAAGAAGAAAAAAGCAAATTAGAATCTGGCTTGACAAATGGAGATGAACCCATGGATCAGGATTTATCTGATGTTCCTACCAAGTGTATTTCTATGACAGAATCTATTGAAATCAAGTAAGTGCTTTCATTGCATTTTGTAAATAAAAATTTCAAACACTTGAATTATATAATTTACGTTGTTTCCAAAGTGAAACTTCTGAATATCCTCTAGTAAGTTTGCACTTTCAAAATTTAATTTTTCATGTAAAGACTTGTGAAGTATGGACGTATTTTCTCTTCATTAATTATATCTGAATGCCAGAGTAATTGAATTGGTGGAGAGGAGGGGTTAAACATTAAATTGTACATTTATATAAAGAAACATTCTTTTTGGCATTTCTAGTATGTCTAGTAGCAGGTGAAGGCATAAATTCATAGGTTTAATTTTCCCAAGTGCTTGTTTAATATACTCGGCTTAGACATTTCCAGTGTCCTAATATCTTAAAACTGCTATCGTGATCTTCAGAAAACTTTGTTTCCTTCTCTGCTTGGTACAGTTAACACCAGTAAATCATCATTTTGGAATTTAAAAAACTCAGTAGAGAGCAAATTGGTTTATATCTGTCCTGTGATATCATATAGTATTATTCTTGGGTAAAGCTAAGTTCTCAGTGCTGCATATCAGCAGTTTCGTAAAGGTCTCTCCAGAATGGCTGGACCCGTTTACATTTCACTAGCAGAGCAGGAGCTCCCTCTTCCCTGTTTCACCGGCACATGAGGCTTATCCAATTCTTTCATGTTTCCCGTCTCATGGGTATAAAGTAATATGTCAGTGCTATTTCCATTTGTCTTACTGTGATTATTATTGAGTTCGATTATCTCTTCAGATGCTTGTTACGGTTTTTGTTTTCTCTTATGTAAAGTCCATGTTTATATCTTTTGTGCGTTTTTCTCTAGAGGTTGCTGCCTTTTTGTTAATTGATTTGCAGGAGTTGGGTGTATATTCTGGATATTATTGCTGGCTGGTTTTAGACAATGCCAATAAGTACCACCTCTCATTCTAGTATTTGTTTATAAGAGTCGCCCATGGTCTACTTCGTTTAAAAACATCTTTAATGTTGATGTAAGGAAATAATAGAATATTTCTCATTAGGTATTTGGGGTTTCATATTTTAAAAGTCTTTCCCTATCCTTGGTCACAAAAATAATTCTTATATTTTATTCCTTAATCTAAAGCTTTACTTTTTTTTTTATGACTTCAACTCAGCTGCTGTTTTATATGGCATTAGGTCAAGACCCAGTTTTATTTTTCGTTATATAGTGAGCCATTTTTTTCTAATAACACCTATTAAAAAATCCATAATACCTCCCTCAAATACACATTAATAATAATATAACACACGTGTGTTCTTTAAAGCCTCATTTTATATACTGTATATGTTTCTTTCCAGATAATAAGTCATTAAATTCTAGTTTTTGAATTATCAGAAAAGTAAAATTGAATAATTATGTCTAATTACAGAGCCAGGGTTACTTACATAGACTATGAAGGACGCTCTGATGGGGATTCCATTAAAAAGATCATTAATCAGATGAAACCCCGACAGTTGATCATTGTCCACGGGCCTCCAGAGGCCAGTCAGGATCTGGCCGAGTGCTGCCGTGCGTTCGGGGGGAAAGACATTAAAGTGTACATGCCGAAGCTGCACGAGACCGTGGACGCCACCAGCGAGACCCACATCTACCAGGTGAGCGTGCCGGCGCTAGAGCCACACACAGGAAGCACTTCCTGCTGCAGGTTAGGACAGACAGCTCCATTAGGAATATAGCAGTGAGTGACACACACATGGTCCCCTGCCCTGGCAGATCTTAGTCTGTGGGGCTTATAGCAAGGAGATAGTATTTATCACACGGTTTTACCTTTGATAGAGAAAGTAGAGGATGTTACGAGAGTCTAAAGAGGGAGACTAACCCATATTTAGAGGCTACAAAAGATTTCCCAGAGGAAGTGATTACTAAACCAAATCCTGATGGATGGATTCTCAGGGATGTATATAGAGTAGGAAAGAGAGGGAACTACATTTGCAAAAATATACAGCTGAGGGGAATGGTGAGTGTTCAAGAATTCAAAAGTTTTATAAAAATTCACAGATGTCAGGGTTCTACTAATAGAAAAAAAAAAGGAGACAGGCACAGAAAATAGGAATAGAGGAGAAATTGATTAGTTCTTATTTGTTAGTGGGAGATGGTGTCCATTAAGGCAGAAGTGATATCTATATTTGTTTGGAAAAAATGGATTAGAATTTACCAGGCAAAACTGTCATTCTGGCCAAAACAGGAGGAAGCAACATTCTAAGAATAGGGAGTTGTGAAACCTCATGGCTTATTTAGGAAACTGTAAGCAACTCCGTGCTGCTCTAGTGCCATCAGGTATTGGGGAATGACACTTACCAGTGGTTTTCAGCCTCCTGTACACCTGGGGAATCTTTGGGGGAACAGGGGTCTCGATGCTCTTAGTTTCACTAGTTATATTCGAATCATTGCAAGTGGGGCCCTGGCACTGATAAATGGAAAAAAAATGTGCTGTGTGACCCCAGTGTGCAGTCTGGGTTAAGAAGCTTTATTTTGGAAAGTAGACAGGGGCCAAGTGACCTTACAGGTCATTAGGTCATTACCAGTCATGGTGAAGATCAGATGAAGTGAACGATTTTGAAATTTTAATGCACATTTCCAGACTTAGAAAATGATAGTAATAGGTTAATTTATTCATGGGTTTTATTTCTCTTCCTCCCCTTTGCATGTGTAGGTGAGATTAAAAGACTCACTTGTTAGCTCCCTTCAGTTTTGTAAGGCAAAAGACGCTGAACTGGCTTGGATAGATGGTGTCTTAGACATGAGAGTTTCCAAAGTGGACACAGGAGTTATTTTAGAAGAAGGAGAACTGAAGGATGATGGAGAGGACTCAGAAATGCAAGTGGACCCACCTTCAGATTCTAGCGTTATCGCCCAACAAAAGGCCATGAAAAGTCTGTTTGGAGATGATGAGAAAGAAACAGGTGAAGAAAGTGAAATCATTCCTACTTTGGAACCCTTGCCACCTAATGAGGTAGGAAAGCGTGCGCTACTTCTATCTTTTCCTTTATTTGTCATCCTTGAATTTTCCATTTAAAATATATGTCATATTTAGGCTGATTTTAGAGTTTTTTAGATTACTCGTTGTGTGTGTGTGTGTGTGTGTGTGGTATGGCTAGGGAATAATAAGTTAAAGGAAACCGTTAGCAGATGTTGTTATAAGATACATAATTGTTTCATGATTTTTTTTTTCAGTATGGACTTTTAAGTTTGATGATTGTGAGAATCGTCTACCTGCCTCTAATTGGGAGATTTATAGTTTTCTAAGAATGTCATACTCCTGCACCCCAGTTTTGTCTGTTGTCAATTCAGTTCAAATCACTTGGTTTTGATATAGTTAGAAATCTTTATTTAGTACAAATATAATTCTAGTCTAGTATTGACATGTTCTCAAAAGATATCTACTTAGCAAAGGTTTTGGGGAATTAACTTACAACATTAAAACCGTATTATAAGAGTCTTACATGCACGTCAAGTGATGGCTTAGCCCTTCTAAGCAATAAAGAATAGAGACAGCCTCCATCCCTGTCAGTACTACTCTTGAGATGGGGAGGAGTTGGAACTGTTTTTTTCTCTGTGCTAAAGCTAGCACTCATCAAAGCAATTTCAAAGTAGCAGCATTAGGTTGAACCACTTGTCTTTGCGATTCTAAAGCCCGTAGCATCCACTGCTTTCGTTCTGAGGGAGGAGGGAAGTGGCACTGGGATCTGGAGAAAATCTCCTCTGAACTAAGCAAGGGTTTTTGGTTCAGCTCTGCCCGCTGGCACTCTAGTTGACCCCCTTAGGCAAGTGGGTGAGTGAAGAGCATAGCATTACCAAATGTCTCTCTGTTATTATGAGGCATGACTAATAAAATTGATTGTGAAGCATTCAGAAAATGTGAAGGCCTTTGTAATGTCAAATAATGAGGTGAGATTCAGAATAACAACTTGGAATGTGATTTACAGTCTTGAAATGATCTGTTGAAGGACTTCAGGGAATAATAGAAAATGTCTTAAAGGTCATGGGCTGTTTTACTTTCGTCAGGACAGCTATGTGTCTGGTCCTCCATTTGAAGTTCTTCCCCTTTCACCTTATCCAAGGTTCCTGGACACCAGTCAGTCTTCATGAACGAACCAAGACTGTCTGACTTCAAACAAGTTCTCTTACGGGAGGGGATCCAAGCTGAATTTGTAGGAGGTGTCCTTGTTTGCAACAATCAAGTAGCAGTTCGTAGAGTAAGCGTGTTTATTAATTAATAAGGGTTGAATTGAACAGCTGCTTCTGATGTTTTGTCATTTTGAATTCTATAATTCTTGATTGGTAATTTCACAAAACTGAAAATCAGTCATTTATATTCATAATGATGACCTTGAAGGCTTTAAAAAGTGATTCTCAAAGACTTGATAATTTTACTGTAAATTTTTATTTGAATTCTCTGACATTGATATGTATGTAAAATTCATGACTTGAATAATATATCCATATTCCGTGAATCAGAGCAATCCATTTCCTGACCAATCCTAAAGTTAACTTATTTTGGTTATTATGTCTGCATATTAATGGTAGAGAATGTACTAAAGAACTTTTTTTTTTCACTTGGTTTCTAGACGGAAACTGGACGCATCGGATTAGAAGGCTGCCTTTGTCAAGATTTTTATAGGATAAGAGACCTTTTATATGAACAGTATGCCATTGTGTAAAGGACAGCATGTCAAGAAGTATCTGTTTGACCTTTATAAGAAAAAAAGGATTCTTATTCTAAGCTTTTGCGCTTTTTTTGTAATATACAAAAAGAATCTATCAGAAAAACTAAGCGTGCATTAGATTTTTTACAATGTAAATATTTTGCAATGCGCTAATAAGCATTCTACCTTTTGGCTTTGAATGGGAGAGACCTGTGTGCAGGCCTGAGAGGTGAAGGTACTTGCTTTCCTTTTCAGAATCTAACTCTGGAAGGGCTCTTTACTTGAATAAAACAATGCAACTTAGCAAACCAGTTCATGGCCTTAGAGAAACATATTTGCATGAATTCTTGCAAACTGTTTCTTACATTTTCTGGAATGCAAACTGAGAATTATTTAGAAAAGATGTGCTATTAGAAAAAAACTGATAAAAGTTTTTGGAGGCCTACCTAGTTAAAAAAAAAAAGGTAGCGTATGGGCTGTAACTCTTCTCTTGAATTGTAATATGCAGTTGTCATCACATGCAGCATATCCGCTCCATGCCTGTATTTCTCAGATCCACTAGCATGAGGTTGGACACATTTGGTTCAGAAATCAATTTTTATTTCTTCCATTTCTTGTTTTACCAAGATTTTGTTGTTGTTCAGTTTGAATTATAACACCATCATCTGAATACACATAATTCCACAGAATTCCTCGATGTGTTACAGTCTTAAGGGTTCTGTGTACATGTCAGACACAGCTTAACTACCAGCTAGATGACTGTGTTAGAAACTGTTTAGTGCTCTGTTTTCAAGGAAATAAATTTGAACCTCACATTTCGATACGATAATAGTATCACTGATTTACAAGCTGTAAACGTTTTCATCTTTTAGGCTTGCTTTCTCCCAAGTTTGCCTAAGCAGTGGTTAGATTTTATATACAATACGACAAACATAATGTTGAAACTGGAGACGGTCATCCTTTCTGTCCTCACATCTTGGCAGCCCCGATAATAGTATACACCACCTGTGTTTAAGAATAAAAAGGGAATATATGCAATTTCCGTTGAACTTAAAAATGAAAATCATGTCGCCCTATTGTAATCTGTCGATGCCTTTTTAGCATGTAGCTTCATCGTGGCAGGTCTTCATGCTTATTTTGTAAGTATTTAAGCCCTCCTCTTTATACTCAGTATTTTCAGAAGGGTCAGTCTTATTTAACTATGTATAGTTCCATATAAGTGAAATCAGACTAGAATTCATTTCATTCCATTGCAAATGCGTACAGAGCTTTTGTTGTGGATTATACTTTTACTGCCTTCTGATACTGAAAACCAGATACATACAACAATGTGACAGAAGATGAAGAGTATGTTTTCTTTGCAGAGCTTTGAAAAAAATTCACTTAAACTCTTATTCCTGAATAGAGTAAGCCTAAAATTCGATTTATTTTTGGAGGGTGGGGTAGGGTGAGGTGGGGGGAATGTCTGCATTTGTTTCATGGCCTAATGATTGGCTTATACGTATTACATTGAATTACTGATATTGAAATTTTGTTTTTTGCCTAATCTTTAAAATTTTTTTTTGAATTTTTTAATTGATTTTAGAGAGAGGCAGGGAGAAGGAGAAAGAAAGAGAGAGACATCAATGTGAGAGAGAAACATTGATCTGTTGCCTCCCGTGTGCACCCTGACTGGGGATTGAACTTGAAACCTGGGTACGTGCCCTGACCGGGAATTGAACTGGCAACTTCTTGGTGCATGAGATACTCAACCAACTGAGCCACAGCAGGGCTTGCCTAACCTTTTTATTGTCCCATGAACAGGAATGAAAATTTAAAGTACTGCTTGAAGATCAACTGATGTCATTGCAGGAGCAGTATTTTTGTTTCTAGATGACGATATTACTAACCTTTTTAGAATGAAGACATTTGTTTAGCTTCATTTACTTAAGAAAAACACAGATTTTAAAAAGGACTATGACATAAATCATGAACTCAGAGGAATTTTTAGATCTTTACTGTTTAGAAGCAAAAGAAATACAAGTAGACCATCAGGTGAGATCTATACATAATTAGGTTAAAAATAAATTTTGTAGTGTTTTGTGACAGTGGGATTATAAATGTCAAATATCATTGCAAACTTTTAAATATTTCTATGAACCAGTAGCTGGTCTCAAACAAAAGCAAGAAAATCAATTTCCTAAGGGCCATTTGCCTTTTATTAAAAATTTGAGATATGATTCACATACCATACAGTTCACTCCTCTAAAGGATATATTTCATTGGTTTTTTAGTATATTTACAGCATTGTGCAACCATTACCACTATCTAATTCCAGAATATTTTCATCACCCCCCAAAAAACTTCATACCCATTAGCAGTCAGTTCCCATTCTCCCTTTTCCCCAACCCCAGGCAACCATTAATTTATTTTGTCTCTTATGAATGTGCCTGTTCTGGATGTTTTAGAAAAAAAATTGAATCACAAAATATGTGGCTTTTGGTGTCTGACTTCTTTCACTTAGCCTCATATTTTCAAGATTGATTGATGTGGTAGCATGCATCAGTATCCTTTTTATGGCTGAATAATCTGTTGCGTGGACATACCACATTTTGTTTATTCTTCATCAATTGATGGACATTTTGGTTGTTTTTTGCTGTGATGAGTAATGCTGTGAACATTTGTGCGCAAATTTCTTGTATAAACATAAATTTTAAGTTTTCTTGGGTATATACAGGATGGGGCAAAGGCTTACAGTTGTTCATATGGAAAATAATACAATAATTAAGAAATAGTAATGCAAGAATGAACTCTGTTTCACGTACTCACAACTGTATACCTATTGCCCAACCCTGTATCTAAGAGTAGAATTGCTGGATCATATGGTAACTATATTTAGCTTTTTGAGAAACTGCCAGACTGTTTTTCAAAGTGGCTGCACCATTTTACATTCCCACCAGCAGCGTATGAGAATTCCATTTTCCCCACGTCTGCAGTGACACTTGTCGTTCACCATCTTTTTTGTTTTAGCAATCTTCGTGTGCGTGAAGGGGTACCTCATTATGGTTTTGATTTGCATTTCTCTGATGACTAATGATGTTGCACATCTTTCCTGTACTTATTGGCCATTTGTATATCTTTTTTTTTTTTTTTGAGAAATGTCTGTTCAGATTCTTTGCCTATTTTTTTAAAAAAAATATTTTTTTATTGATTTCAGAGAGGAAGGGAGCAGGAGAGAGAGCTAGAAACATCAATGATGAGAGAGAATCATTGATTGGCTGCCTCCTGCATGCCCCCCACTGGGGATCAAGCATGCAACCGGGGCATGTGCCCTTGACTGGAATCGAACCTGGGACCCTTCAGTCTGCAGGCTGATGCTATAGCCACTCAGCCAAACCAAGGAGGGCTTTGCCTATTTTTTAATTGGGTTTTTATCTTTGTGTTGTTGAATTATAGGAGTTTTTTATACAATATGGATACTAACTCTATTGGATATATGATTTGCAAATATTTTCTCCTATGTGTTTGTCTATTTTCTTGATAGTGTCATTTGAAGCATAAAGGCTTTTGATTTTAAGTCTCATTTATCTTTTTTTCCCTTTGGTTCCGTATGCTGTTGGTATCATATCTTAGAAATCATTGCTTCATCCAAGGTCACAAAAATTTATGACTTTTTTTTTCTAACAGTTTTTTACGTTTAGCTCTTATATTTAAATCTTTGATCCATTTAAGTTTATTTTTATATGGGTGTGAAGTAGGGTCCAATTTTATTCTTTTGCATGTGGATATCTTTTGCATGTCCCAGTATCATTTGTTGAAAAGACTATTTCTTCATCAAATTTTCTTGCCACCTTTGCTGAAAAACAGTTGTCCATAAATACATGTGTTTGTTTTTGGACTCTAAATTCTGTCCTTATACCAGTACCACATTATCTTGTTTACTGTAGTATTGTATTAAGTTTTGAAATCGACAAGTGTGAGTCCTCCAACTTTGTTCTCTTTCAAGATTGTTTTGGCTATTCTGGTTGCCTTACATTTCCATAGGAATTTTAGATCAGCTTATAAATTTCTGCAAAAAAGAGCCATGGCGGGGTGGGGGTGTGTGTGGTTGAAATTTACAGCTTAAAATCTTAGAATGTTATGGCTGAGAAGGACTATGGAATTCATGTAGTTCAACACATTTACTTTAGTAATAAATGACGGGGCCAGTGGAAAAGAAGGGATTTGCTTGAGAGCCAAATAGCCAGTTAGAGAAAGAGTTGGAATTGGAACCCAGCCTTTCATAGTCCATTTATTCAATACTAAATGAATAAATCTAGAGTCCTTACAGAATCCAGTCATTCAATACAATATGTGTTGAACTAAATGAGTTCTACAGTCCCTCTCAGTCATAACATTCTGAGATTTTAAGCTATAAATTTCAGCTTCTTTTTCCTGCACTGCTTTTTTTCAATTGCTTAGTTTATGTTCACTTTGATTAAAATAATATGTTCTGTTATCTTGTCTAAGAATGGCACCTGGCAAACCATTACTTAGGACGATAGCATGCTGAAAGATTGATGTCCATTCTGTATGGTGGGGGGAGAAAAGGTATAAGTCACGCTCTACATTGTTTGTGTGTGTGTGTGTGTGTGTGTGTGTGTGTGTGTGTGTGTGTGTTTGGTTGTAAGGTTCTAGATTTTTATCACAAGGTTATTGTCCTTTTAATATTGATGAATTGCCCTAGCTGGTTTTGCTCAGTGGTTAGAGCGTGGCCTGTGGCCTGAAGGGTCCCAGGTTTGACTCCAGGCAAGGGCACGTACCTCGGTTGCAGGCTCGATCCCCAGTCTGGGCAAGTGTGGGAGGCATCCAATCGATGTGTCTCTCTCACATCGCTGTAGCTCTCTTTCTGTCTCTCCCCCTCCCTTGCACTCTCTCTAAAAAAAATTCAGTGATAAAAATATCCTTGGGTGAGGATTAACAAAAATTAGTTGCAGTGTGGAATCTAAAAAATAAATAAACATCGATGAGTTGATCATCACTTAAGTCAAAGGATGTACATGGGGGTTAGTAACTCCGTGATTGAGAGGTTGGTTGGTTGTTGGCTTGTTTGGGTGGTGGGGGTCCCCTTTCGCCTGGCCCCCTTTTTTATTCAACCATTCAGTAGCGGTAGAATGAGTGCATAAGTGACGATGCAGCGGAACTAGAGAAGGAGCACTCAGGTCTGCCTCCCTGGGCAGGGGCCAAGGAAAGGTTTTTTCCCTTAACCACCTCAATTGTGTTTATGAGAAACATACCGCAAATTACTAAAATAAGTTAAAAACCCGGGCTTCGCTGGACGTCAGGGTATCTTTGCTTCTCTCTCCGATTCTTCTCCTCCCCACCATCACACACACAGCTCTATTTTTTGGTCTTTTCATTTCAGTACCTCGTTCGTTTTAGTTATTGAAGTCAAAATGTGATTTCAAGGTGCAAAATAGGAGTTTGGAGAGTTTACATCTCTCTTCACCGTAGTGGAAGAGAACCAAAGGTGTATGTGCTGCTTTTGTGAAGTTGTTGATGGACTCCACGGATGCTACGCGAATGTTAAGTGATCATCTCAAGTGGAGGATATACAGAGGACTCATAAGGACTTCCTACATCATTTTTTGAGGTTGTGTTGATTTTCGTGTTCAGGATCCAATTTATTGTATGTATTTCCATGTTTTCTGACACAATTGCTATACTTTTTAAAAAGGTACTACTAAACTATGTTCAGAACTAGTGAAATCCTTCAAACTAATCTCTGTGGGAAGCTGTTTGATCCCAGCAGTGCTGCTGTTGTCCTTGTTTCATTTCTTTTTTTTTTTATTAATTAAATCTTTATTGTTCAGATTATTACAGTTGTTCCTCTTTTTTCCCCCCGTAGCTCCCCTCCACCCAGTTCCCACCCCCCCCTCTGCCCTTACCCCCCCCCCCACTGTCCTCATCCATAGGTGTACGATTTTTGTCCAGTCTCTTCCCGCACCCCCCACACCCCTTTCCCCCCCGAGAATAGTCAGTCCACTCCCTTTCTATGCCTTTGATTCTATTATATTCACCAGTTTATTCTGTTCATCA